TAGGTATGTAATTTCCTTCTTACTAGTGACAATAATGTCACCCACTGCAACTGAGAAGTCGTCGGATTTGCTGAGATTATGTTTCGAACCGAAGAGAATGGACTCTGTTTTACCCAGGTGTAATGATAATTTATTATCGGCGAGCCAGGTGCAGATTCTGCCGAGCTCGGAGCTGAGGGTTTTTCAACCTGCAATCTGCTCCTGTCAGAGACCAGCAGGGCTGAGTCGTCCGCGAACAGGAACAAGTTGCAGTCACATGCTGATGACATGTCATTTGCATAAATTAGGAACAGTAACGGACCTAATATGCTTCCTTGTGGAACACCACAGCTCACTGGGAGGGGGGGGGACAGAGTACCGTTTACCTCCACCATCTGTTCTCTCCCCTCCAGGTAGGATTGCATCCAGCTCACCGATAGTTTATCAAAACCAATTGCTTTTAGCTTGTCAATCAGAATGGGGTGATTGACAGTGTCGAAAGCCTTTTGTAGGTCCAGCATCACCATGCCGCAGTATTTACCCTCGTCCACCTCTTGTTTGATGTGGTCGTTCAAATATAGAAGGCATGTGTCAGTGGAGTGGGATGTTCTAAAGCCAGATTGAAATTCATAGATTAGTTTCTTTTCCGCGAGGTACTTTTCGACCTGTTCATATACTATTTTTTCCATGACTTTCGAGATGGAGGTAAGTATAGAAACAGGGCGGTAGTTGCCTGGGTCCAATTTGCTGCCCTTTTTGTGCAGGGGGGTTACTCTTGCAATTTTGAAGTCTTTGGGTACTTTTCCCTGTTTTATGGAGAGGTTAATTATGTGAGCTATGACTGGTGAGATGGCAGTTGCTGTGTCTCTGAGGAATTTGGAGGGGATATTGTCGTGGCCAGTGGCCTTGTTAGGTTTGAGGGCGCTCAGTTTAATGAGTACCTCTGCTGTTGTTACCCTTGCTAGACTGAAATCATCTTTGCGTACCCCTAGGTTTTTGTAGTAGGTCATGATGTGATCTACTCCAAAAAGCCCGGAGTGGGAGGGTAATTTATTTACAAGAGTTGTGGTTATGTTTGTGAAAAAAATGTTCAAGTACTTGGCCACATCCAGTTTGTCTGTGATGAGCCTGTTATCTGTCTTTATGTTTAAGTTTGCAAATCTCGTTTTGAGTTTTTTACTGCAGCCAAGCTGGTTATTGAGTAATTTCCAAAGTTCCCGGGGTTTCTTTTTGTTTTCCTCAGTTTTGTCATTGATGAAATTCTTTTTGGCAGTTTTGATCATGGAGCTTACGTCATTTCTTAGTCTGTTTCTTTCAATTTTTAGTTCAGTCACGTGGGCCTGGAGTTCACTGCTCGTGCTTTTGGAAAGCATTGACTGACTTTTATGAAACTCAGAGCATTTTTTGTCTCTGGTTTTCATGGCGGTCAGTATGCCGGAGTGCATCCACGGCTCAGCGCGATTTTTTACCCTGGTTGTTCTTAGGGGGGCCAAATCATTGAGTATTGCAGAGAATTTGTTTTTGAAACCAAGCCATGTTTCTTCAACTTGTGTACCACTGAGCTCATCTGACCAGTCCAGGCTCTCCAATTCTAGGTTAAAGGCCTCGCTAGAGTAGTTTTTGAGGTATCTAGATATGACTGTTTTGTGACAGCCGGCCTTTTGTTTTAGCTTTTTGCGGGTACAGAATATCATATAATGATCACTTAAACCACATGCTATAACCCCTTTACTGGAGATCCTGGACCTGTCAGAGGTCAGAATGAGATTAAATATAATATATACGTGAAATAAGTTATTTAGAGACTATGGATGGCGAGGATAAATGTAATAAAGGGATCTACAAACATTACATTGGTGACCTACAGTGAGATGGGAACAGGCATGCGCTTAGGGCCCGCTTTCCAGCCAGTTTCTGTGGGGTGACGCATTCTGAGGTGAGGCAGAGCTCATCTGTGCCTCACCTCACCCCACAGTAAATGGCTTGAGCGCGCTCACAAAATAAGTGCCCGCGCTAAATTAGTGCCCGTGCTCCAGCAAGTTACTAGTGATGGGAATTCCGGCTCTTCTTGGTGAGCCGGATCATTTGGCTCGGCTCACCAAGAAGAGCCGGCTCTTTCGGCTCCCAAACGGCTCTTCAGTTTACCACATATTATACCTTTTATAATTCAATCAAATGTAGCCCTGTTTTGACTAATGATTTATATGTGTACACATATCACTTAAATTATTCAATACATCCTTTGTACTGAAGTATTCAAAAGTAAAAATTACATGTTTAATATCAATTATTTGCTGTGGCCAGTTTTCATTGCATTTGCAGACCCTTGTATCTCTCTGATACCACCCAATGAATGCACTGACTTGCTTGTAGAACCACGCTACACAAAGCAGATAGCAACACCTATAAAAACTTAAGCATAGACATTTAAAAAAAGGGGCTACTGTATCGACATTTTAAAATTTTATTTAAAGAAAAGGCCCTGACAAAACAGCAGGGCTCTATTTCAGTATTAACTATAGAAAAAAAGACAGCAACAGCTGACATCAAATCTTTGCTGAGCCCAAGGATAATCATAAATAAATAACATAATACAAATAAATGTATTGCAATGCTCAAAACAGCAGCATCCAACGGTCTCTAATCCTTGGATATTACATGCCACTGCATGCATGCACGGAGCAGCTGTAGCGCGGAGATCATCATATCATTCTGTCTTGTATTACTTAACAAAAAATAACAAAAACAAAAAAATGTCTCGTTCGCGGGCCAGCTCCCGTCGTTCACTTAAAAGAGCCGGCTCTTTGGGCAACATTAGCCCGTACCTGTGCATGTCCCTGATTTGTTTGCAACTTATAGTTTTATTTTTGAAATTAAATTTATTTTGCTTGACTCAGTTTTTTTTTCTCTTAAACTGTTAGTTTTGCTTGATTCTGAGAAAGTGTTGCTTTATCTTTATGAAACTAAACTAATCCCATAATTTGCTGTCCAACATTTTCCAATTGTGAGTTGTATTAATATATTGGAGGCTTTCTACTCTTGCAGGGATTTGTTGTTGCTGTGGATAATCCAAAAAATGCATTGTCATTTATATTCTTCCCCTTGTGGTTTATTGTTATTATACAATCTGAAAAGGGAAACAGTGTTTAAATGGCTTTACGTGAAAAATATCATTCCTTTTTACCCCCACAGGTTTTACAAAAAGGATTACATGATTTCTGTGTAAGAGAGTTCTCAGAGTGTGTGGTGCTGGGTGCAGTGGGTCTGTTGGAGGATCAAACTCTAGTTTCCCTGGATGAGTTAAGAGCTTTGTTCTACTGCTGGCAGATTAATGAAACAGGGATACCTGAGAGAGAGAGAGAGAGAGAGAGAGAGAGAGAGAGAGAGAGAGAGAGAGAGAGCGAGGAGCGAGACGAGAGAGTAGAGATAGAGAGAGATCTAGCGAGAGAGAGAGAGAGAGAGTAGAGAGCTCGATCTATCGAGGCGATAGCTCTCTCGCTATAGCGCGTCGTATCGAGATCAGATAGCTGAGCGACTCTTCCCCTCGCTGAGAGAGAGGAGAGGATGAGGAGAGAGAGAGAGAGAGAGAGAGAGAAAGAATGTTGGGGGGGCAGTGTGGGATTGTGTCATTGTTGCATCATAAGCTGCTGTGAGCTGAATCCTCTGTCACCGTAACCTCAGCACGGTTGGGATCCACTCCGGACAGCATTCTGGGAAATGAGGTATGTGATGTCACTCCAGAAGAAAGCCGCTGCAGGTCCAGTTCCAATCCGACCCCTACATCCTGGCACTCAGCCAGCAGTCTCACTCTCAGCTGAATGAGGGTTCCTACTTTAGGGTGGAGAGGGTAAGTACAGCGGCAGGCTTAGGACCAACTCCACTCTGAGGTCCAACCAGAGTTTAGAATCAGAATCCATCAGGCAAAAAATCTCAAATTATAATTACAATAACATCTGCTTGGTTTTTGCAACAGTCCTTGTTAATAACCGTGGCAATCAAATGCAAACATCATCTACTGTTTTGTAGACTAGACGCAGGGATATGAATCTAAGGGAAATAATTTAAATGCAATGTAACCTTGACGTTGTTAACATCTGTATGACAATATTAAATGTCTCTTATTTTACACTGTGTTTCATGAGGGACACAAACAATGGAGCACTGATGCGGAAGGGGAGGGGTTTAAGAGTCGGTTTGGAAATGGGCCGCAGTGTACAGAGCCCTGAATAGTTAGGAAAATGTCATTTCAATCAGATCATTTGATATCAGTTTGGAAAACCATTCCACAGCTGCTGCTGCTGCTGTTAAACTAAAAAAACATGATTGGTCGTGTGTTTTTATTAAGATGAAGTTACCTACAATAGAGTGTTTTATAGCTTAGTGACTGTTTGTGTGTTGGCACTAAATGTCTAATTACTAAGATATGTATTCTTTAAAGGGGCCCTATAATGCTTTTTGTGGTTTCCCCTTTCCTGAAGTGTGTTCTATAGGTTTGAGTGCATGTTAATGGTCTGCATAGGCTACAATCCCCAACTTCATTTTTCTATTTCATTTGTGCCGAATAAGAGAAAAATTACAAAACCCAGATACACTAAACATGCACAGGCCACTGACTATTTTGTCCCAGATCTGAACGATTACGTTAACACCCAAATAAAATGTTATTAGGGGATAACTCCTTAAACATTGTGATGTATGCATTCTGTACATTTTACATTTAAATGTAATTGAATATTTGTTTATAGATTTGTCTTATCTTCATGGCCATCTGTATATTTGTTTACTGTCTAATGCTGGTTATTTTGAGATGTTTATATTTTAGAATTGTTTATTTATACTCTTTTAATTTGTTATGAACTTGTTTTGTTTTATGCTGCTGCAACGAAAATATTTCCCAATTGTGTGTCTGATCAGATTGTATTCAAATGTGTGACTAGTGCATAGATACATGTTTAATGGCCCTCACCCATCACATGACTGGTTTCTCTGTACAAGACTTACTGCAGCCTTTGGTTTGATTATTTTTAAATATTTAATGAAATCACCATGAAATACAAATGTACAATACATTATTATAGGACATATACATTACTCATTATATACAACTGCTGTCCTCAGGGCTAATGGTGATGGGTGAATGTGGAGTTGTGCATCTTTGGCTCCCGTTTTGTCTCACAGTAGTTTGTATGGGTCGCAGTAGTTTCAGTGCAGGTGTGTTCCTCAGGAATATGTCAGGTGAGACAGGTCAATGTCTTTATTGAAGATGATGGAAAACTCCTTAGAAAGCAGCTGGTGGAGGCTCACACCATCATGAGCGTACACCCAGCATGCACCTGTCCAATCGTAGCGCTTGGGTCCACTGCAAAAAGAGAAGCAAAGGAATTAGCTCAGATGCTGTCATTTCAGATTTGTCAGAAAAAAGAAAATTACATTGGCAAGAAAACAAATAAGCTATGAGTGATTCATCCATAAAATGTGATCTGATATTCAAAAGGCATTACAAAAGACAAATGATCCTTCAAAAAGCCACTACAAGCCAGCTTTCCCCATGTGTAATGAACCATTACAGTGAAGAGTGTCTCAGCATTAAAGGTCCCCTATTATGCTAAATCCACTTGTTCATGTCTTTTACACATAAATATGGATCCCCCCTGTGTAAAGAGATTCTGAAAGTTTCAGGGGAAAAGATTCTCTCTCTTTCTGTCCTGATCCATCTAAACAAAAACTGATCAGATTTGGCCACTTTGTGATGTCACAATGTAAGCCAAACATCTTGCAGAGGGGCGTGGCCAGCAGCAGCTCGTTTGCATTTAAAGCTACAGGCGGCATGATCTGTTTGGTATTTCAGCCAAACACTTCAGAGACATGTTCTGTATATATATCTGAGACCTATAATATATTGTTTAAAAATAGTATAATATGGGAAGTGTGCTCATAAGGGGACAAATGGAGGAGAGTATACATATGGAGAAGTTGTGCATGCAATATAATCTGGCTTCGTAGGTTTTATAGCAACATGAGTACAGCTTTTAAATAGCCTGCCATTGTTGTTATTGTGATGTGCAGAGATTAGATTTATGGTGGAATAGCACATGATGCCGATATACATGGTGGACTGTGAGGGATTTCGTGAGCTAATGAACTGCATTGAACCAGGCTATGGCATCCCCTCAAGAGGTACAATTACCAGCCGCATTAAGAAGCGGTACGCGAAAAATAAAGACGTGCTCAAGGCACAGCTACTTTTCATTGACAAGGTGGCTATAACTACTGCCTGTTGGACTGCAGAAAGTTACAGCACAGTTCCTGATGAACTCAGCCATGTTATGGCCTGAGCTGAAGACACAGTAATACCGACCTCTGAAGAACATGGAGCCGTGACTCAGCCGGAGCAAAGCGCCGCCAAAGTCACAGTCCTCCAGACTGCATACGTTTATTGTGGAGAGGTTTGGAGTCGGACTCAGGGTTACTTTTTATTTTCCTTTTAAGCAGTGATGCACAGTACTTTATGTTAATGTAACTTTAAATATGTTATCGTGAGCTTCAGAGTATTTTTTTTGCGCTCAACTCACTCCTGAGTCATGACCTGCGCGGATATGTTTATTGTGGAGAGGTAATGAGTATTCTTTTATCTTCCTTTTATACAGCAGTTTGTTTATTAAGGCCATTTAAAAATGCGCAATGAGTGTATATTTGGAAAAATACATGTATTTTGTATGTTTTTATTTTATTTGGGGGGGTTAATCATTAATTAATTCATTGATTGTTAATATGTTCAACGATTGGTTTAGGAGTTTGACGACATTTGCAACCCTGCTCAGCATAGAACTACAACCAATTTCAGTGAAAAAGGGGGAAATGAAGACTTTACTGCTCTTATCAGTCCTGAGGCCGTATGTTGGTGTGTGTGTGTGTGTGTGTGTGTGTGTGTGTGTGTGTGTGTGTGTGTGTGTGTGTGTGTGTGTGTGTGTGTGTGTGTGTGTGTGTGTGTGTGTGTGTGTGTTCACTCAATGTATCAAAAAGACATGTAGTGTTCAGGTGTGGTGCGACTCAAGTCTCACCTGGAGGGGGAGGAGAGCCAGATCTGTTTGTTTGGAGTCTGCTTGTTGATGACGTAGGTGCCGTGCTCTCTGTCCACCTTCACTGTCAACACGCCACTCTGTACAGAAACACATTAACACATTTATTCTTAATGCTCTGATTTACCTTATATATACACACACTGAACAAAAATATAAACACAACACTTTTACACCCATTGTTCATGAGCTGAAATCAAAGATCTACGACTTTTTCTATTTACACAAAAGGCCTATTTCTCTCAAATATTGTTCACAACTTTGTCTAAATCTATGTAAGTGAGCATTTCTCCTTTGCTGAGACAATCCATCCATCTCACAGGTGTGGGACATATCAAGATGCTGATTAGACCATTTGCCTGACGCTGTGCAACACCTCTCCTTCGCATAGAGGTGATCAGGTTGTGGATTGTGGCCTGGGGATTGTTGGTCCACTCCTCTCAATGGCTGTGCGAAGTTGCTGGATATTGTCAGGAACTGGAACACGCTGTCGTATCCGCCGATCCAGAGCATCCCTAACATGTTAAATGGGTGACATGTCAGCTTCCAGGAATTGTGTCCAGATCCTTGCAACAGGGGGCCGTGCATTATCATGGTGCAGCATGAGGTGATGGTGGTAGATGAATGGCACAACAATGGGCCTCAGCATGTCGTCATGGTATCTCTGTGCATTCAATATGCCATCAATAAAATGCACCTGTTTTCGTTGTTCATAACATACACCTGCCCATACCATAACCCCACCGCCACCATGGGCCACTCGATTCACAACGTTGACATCAGCAAACCGCTCACCCACATTATGCCCTGGACAGTGAAAACTGGGATTCATCCATGAAGAGAACACCTCTCCAAAGTGGTTTCTAACTGTTGTATCAGCTGTCCGGCTGGCTGGTCTCAGATGATCTTGCAGGTGAAGATGCACGATGTTTAAATGGTCTGGTTAAATGTGGTCTTCGGTTTGGAGGCCGGTTGGATGTTAGGCCAAATTCTCTGAAACGCCATTCAATTCATGGGTAACAGTCTGGTGGACATTCCTGCAGTTAACATGCCAATTGCACGCTCCCTGCAACTTGCGACATCTGTGGCATTGTGCTGTGTGCTGAAAGTGCACATTTTAGAGTGGCCTTTTACTGTGAGCAGCCTAAGGCACAGCTGTGCAATAATCATGCTGTCTAATCAACATCTTGATATGCCACACCTGTGAGGTGGATGGATTATCACAGCAAATGAGAAGTGCTCACTAACACAGATTTAGACACATTTGTGGAAAATATTTGAGAGAAATAGGCCTTTTGTGTTCATAGAAAAGTCTTGACATTTCAGAAAATATTTGCCTTCTTTCAGAAAGTGTCTTCGTGTTCAGTAAAGACTTTGATAATATAACATTCTTAGCTCTGCTTTATTTTTTTTGTCAAATAAAATAAACTGTACATATGGTACTGATCATCTTGTATCTGTGGACATGTTGCGACGAAGTTTGTATTCACAAAATACAAAATAACGCGTAGGCAACCTCTATTGCTAACAATGGTAAACCCGAGGTGACTGCTTAAGCCAGCGGTTCCCAACCTTTTTCAGTCAGGCCCCCCTTGTGTAATTGGAAATATTTTCGAGCCCCCCCTAATCTGGTTCCCACCGAGATTGGTAGAATTAATTGTATATAGTTGTACAAACATTACATTTTCTCTGCTAATAATAACAAGACATAAAATATCCAACTATAATTTTATATTTTATTATGGATTGAACATGAACAAAAGTGCTTGTATTGGCAGATGATCCTGTGCCACTGTGAAATAATGAGGCCTAATTGAAACAATTACAAAAACGTTTTATCGATCCGGTTCTTTAAGAGTATTTTTACAAGTTATTTTTGTTATTATTTAGGGGAAAAACTAAACAAATTAGAAACAGAATTCACATTGATTAATTTTATGTATAGTGTGGATTATGGGCTGCTAGCACACATAACATACTTGTAGTGGTGGTAGTAAGTAGATTTACTCTTTTGAAGTACTTAAGTATTAAGTAAGTAAGTATTGCTTCTTTGTAATTCTGCTCCTCTACAGTCCAGAGGCAGTATACTACTTTTACTTAAGTACTTGATCTGAGTACTTCTCCCACCTTACACGTAATTGGGGCAACAGAACTCAGAGTTAAGGAAGTTGAAAACGGTGCATTAATATGAAAATGAATATGAATATGATGCCTTTTGGCCAGCTGATGGACAGATTGCTCGTGTTTCCGCGAAAATACTTATGGCAAACGAGCATTGACCACATCGAGCTCTGTAGATTAGATTGTCACTTTTGAACGCTATGTTCTCCACCGGCGGATCTCTGTGTGCACGGCGCTGCAGCAGTGCAGCGAGTCTGTGAGGCCCCGCCCCCCACAAAGACGAGAGAGAGAGAGAGATCTCCGCACCGAACACGTTAGATGTCAAGGGAGATATATTATGCCTCATCATACTTTGTTGATTTGGGCATTATAGCCGAAAGGCTTGTCGTGGGCTTTTCCACTTTTCTTTTAACTGCCGGTTGTGTTACAAATGTGTCAATTTTATTGATTTTACGAGCAAACAATGTTTGTTTACAACTAGGGATGCTCCGATCGATACTCACTCTCTGCCGATCAATCGGTGCTCTCTAAAAATGGCGATCGCGAGAGCCGATCGCATAACGTAAAATTATGACGTAAAATACATGACACTTTTCTCTGTGCGCGGCAAAACAAGCTCGCCAAAATGGCTTCACCAGTCTGGCAGTATTTTAAGTGTCCGAAAATGACAATAAAATAGCGGTATGCAACGTGTCTGAGCAGAAATCCTGCAGCTCCACCCGCTGTGACGGACCGGTGAGCGGAGCAGAACACACATTAAGAGTTAGACCTAACACATTTAGCTATTTTATCTACCTCTGGAACAAGCTAAACTAGTTATAAATATATTTATTCTTCACTGTCGAGTCACTAATTACTGGATCAGTGAGCTGCATGAGACGATACTGACAGGCTGTCAGGAGAGTGGGAGAGAGAGGAAAAGAGAGCGCTTCCGCTCATTTCTCCCGTGTTATTATCCAAAGTTAATGTAAACTTGAATAATGTACTTCATTTGAATGTAATAATTATGTTGGTTGTTGTTTGTGGAAGCGCCAGTGAATGAGCCCCATTAACTGAGTTTTAAACATCACCTTAAATGGAAGATGCCCATAGGCCCCGCCCACTCGATCGGTATCGGCCGATACTGATTCCGGCGATCGGCCCCAAAATTGGCGATCGGAGCATCCCTATTTACAACCTCTTCCCAAGCTTCACGCGCCCCCCTGGTTGGGAACCACTGGCTTAAGCTGTTAACAAGGTGAACAACCTTTCTGCGGGCGTCCATCTTTTTACGACTTGTGTTACTGGAACACATTTGAATCAGATGTGAAGTCACTCCCAGTTCCGACCTCAGACTTCCAATGTAAATGGAACGCAGCATTATCCCTGCATGCTTATAGCTCAGTTATTGAAGCAACTGTGTAACACCAATGATTCTGTGATGAAAAGAACAATGTGAAGAGAAAATTATGCCATAAAGATTTACGCCATCACCTCTCTGATATCATCTGCAGTGCTTCTACTGCCTCTTATTTAGCAACCAAGTTGCAGATCTTTGGTTGTGTGTGAGTGTGTGTGTGTGTGTGTGTGTGTGTGTGTGTGTGTTGTTTATGGCCCCATATGTCACTGCAGCCAGTTGAAAAAGGGGGTCAGCTGCCAAGATTGGAACATTGGCAAATCAGTCAGAGCCATCAGAGACAGCCGCTGTCCAATCAAAACGGCACACACACACAATCATACACAATTAATCACGCTCTGAGGGACAGACTTAATACGGCCACATGGAGGTATAACATTGGAAAGACAGACGATGATAACAGGTAACAAAATGCACCTTTAGCCCCCACCCATGCACTTCATATCCAACTACGACAGTCGCCTCCACCCTGCTCAGGACTGAGCTACTGGAAATAAAGAGGTTGCTGCACTTGCCGACCTGTGTTGACCTGTATGGCCAACACAGGTCGGCATTTTGAGACATAATAGTGAGAGGCATGAAGACTGTTTAGAACTTTAGATGGTGCTCACAGTCCTGTCACCTGCAAAAGGTTTCAGATTACTCTGCCTCCGTAGGCTGTATCAGAAGGAGACAGGAGAACTTGACCGCACCTACAGGGTAACTTGGAGAGGGTCCGAGTCCGACCCTTGTCAATTAACTACAGGGGTCCCTCAGGGCTCTGTCCTTGGTCCCCTCCTCTTCTCTCTGTACACAAACTCAGCCCGCATGGTTTTTCATACCATTGCTACGCTGACGACACCCAATTAATTCTGTCTTTTCCCCGTTCTGAAACCCAGGTTGTCGCACGCATCTCTGCTTGTCTAGCAGACATCTCTCGGTGGATGTCTGCTCACCACCTCAAGCTCAACCTTGACAAGACTGAACTGATTTTTCTTCCAGGAAAAGAGTGTCCCACTCCTGACCTAACAATCAACATCCCCTCTGTTGTTTCCCCAACTCAGACTGCAAGGAATCTGGGTGTGACCCTAGATAACAACCTGTCCTTCACTGCAAACATCGCTGCTACAACCCGCTGCTGCAGATACACTCTTTACAACATCAGGAGGATACGTCCCCTCCTGACCCAGAAAGCGACGCAACTTCTGGTCCAGGCTCTCGTCATCTCACGCCTAGACTACTGCAACTCCCTCCTGGCTGGTCTACCTGCATGTGCCATCCGACCTCTGCAGCTCATCCAGAATGCAGCGGCTCGTCTGGTCTTCAACCTTCCTAAATTCTCCCACACCACACCGCTCCTCCGCTCCCTTCACTGGCTTCCAGTAACTGCTAGAATCCACTTCAAGACACTGGTACTAGCGTACCATGCTGTGAATGGATCTGGCCCTTCCTACATCCAGGATGGTGGTTAAACTGTACACCCCAGCACGTGCACTCCGCTCGCTGCACCCGCACTGCGAGGGGGACCCAAGTTCCCATCAGCAAAAACACGTCGGTTTGCTATCCTGGCTCCAAAATGGTGGA